AAGGGAGTCAAAGAAATGGTTAAATAGTTTAGCCTTGTCGTCTGGTGCGACAACCAGATTTCCTAGCGTGTCTTGCAGAGGCCGCACGTTACCGGGTACCTTCTTTTTACCCGCTATGTATTTAAAAAAGGACTTCTTGCTGTCCTTGATCCGGGTAGCTAGTCCCAGTTCCATCTCTGCCTTGGCCTTCCTGACCGCCCCCCTGCAGCCCCGAGAAACCGAGGTGTAGTCCTCCCTGGTGATGCCCCTCCCTTCCATTGGGTGCACGCTTCCCTTTTAGTTAGGAGACGTTCCCGTGTGCCTTTGGTGAGCCATGGGGGCTTTTGCACCCTCTTGCCCCTTTGCCCCTTGTTGGGATAACCTCCCTTTGGGCATAGAGGATCGTCTCCTTAAGGAACGACCACTCCTCTTGGACACCCGACTCCCCTCCCCTCCGGGACCTCAGTACTTCCCCAGCTATTCTTCCTACCTCATTGAAATCCGCCCTCCTGAAGTCCAGGGCTGCTGCCTTGCTGAAGGCTTTTGCCACCTTGCGCTGGATGGTAAATTCGAGCAGGCGATGATCGCGGTCGCCCAGGTGGTCGAGCACCCGCAGCCCCCTCACGAAGTTGTCGCCTGTGGCCAGCACCAGATCCAACAAGGCATCTCCCCTGGTGGGGCTGTGCACCCCCTGAGTTAGATGGAGGTCCTGTATCTCAGCTAGGAATCTATCTGAGCGGTCAGACCTGGCTGACTGCTCTTCCCAGCAGACGTCTGGAAAATTCACGTCACCCATGATGACCACGTCTTTTGACCTAACTACCTCCATGAGCTGACTTAAGAATTCCCAGTCTAGCTCTTCCCCTTGGTTGGGTGGCCTGTAGTAGACCCGCACCATTAAGTCCTGTTCCCCTCCACCTCCTTGTATTCTAACCCAGAGCACTTCAGTGTGCCCCTCCTCTGACCTTGTGCTACTAGATGAGGATGTGTATTCCTCCTTGATGTAGAGCGCTACACCCCCACCTTTCCTCCCTGTCCTGTCCCTCCTGTACAGCCTATAGCCCTTGATATTCACCGCCCAGTCATGCGTTGGGTCCCACCATGTTTCTGTGAGCCTCACTACGTCTGCCTTGGTGTCAGCTAGCAGGAGGGCAAGTTCCTCCTGCTTGTTCCCCAAACTACGAGCATTTGTGTAGAGCCATTTGAGGCCTCCTGAAGATGTGTACACTGGCCCCCTAATCTCAGTACTACCCCGGCCCCTGTTGCTTACCTGGGTATTTGATCTGCTCATCGTCAGTCTAGGCTGGGCTAACAGGGAACAAGCACATGTTCTAGGTTTGTAGCATCCCTGGGTGTTGATTCCCATCAGAGAGGCTGCATGTGGACTATTAGCAGGGACCAAGACCCCACTAGGAAATGATGAGACCACTCCTCCAGGAGAGAGCCCATTTCTGCCTGGTGTCTCCTGTCTGAGACTATCGAGTCTTTGGGACAGTGTTTGTGTCCTGCGTCCTTCTAGCGCTGAGCACATAGGGGCTGAGTTATGACTTGGGCTCAGATGCACAAGTGCAATGCAACAAATGGCAGATACTGGCAGTAGTGTGAAGAGATCTTTCCTGAAGGTAGGGAGCAGCTCTTCCCCTGTGAACCTCCTGGAGCACAGCCCTAGTGAATGGGGACAAAGGGAGAGCATTCACCCCTTTGACACATCAGCATTTTGTCCAAAAGAGGTCACACAAATGAAATGCCCTTTACTTTAAAAATGCCCTTTACTTTGGCTGCTCTGGGGACAGCTGGATGCAAGAGGCCTCTTCTACCTAAAGAGAGCACAGGGGTGTGTCATGTTGTGATGCTAAGCTCGGACCCTGTGAAAACTGAGGTTACCATGGCTGGTGAGAGAGACCCAAACCCAAACCTGCCCTAATTTTTCAGTGTATGAGTGGAACCAGGCTCCTTCCTGCTGCTTGCCCCAGACAGAGCAGGCAGACAGACAGTCAGGGAGGAAAGAGACACAGAAAGGCAAAGGCAGGAGGAGCGCAGAGCAGGGCCAGTTTCACCTGGTTTCCTCTCTGGAGGCTGATGGGACTTCTTCATTTCCCACCACTCCTTTCTCGTGTCCCGCTGGGCTGTGCCCACAGACAGGACCTGTACGGGGCACTTCCTGGCTGCCAGCATCCTGCTCAGGTTGTCTCACTTTCTTCCTTCAAGTTCCTTTGTGTTTGAAACCACTGGTGCCTTGCAGTGCCGTGCATGTGTGGATGGGCACCCAGGGCCTCTTCCCTGCTAACCCTCTGAATAAAGCACTGCTGCCTCTGGCATTTTCTCAGATCTTACATTTCCATGTTGGGGAATATACCGCCTCGCTGCCCCTAGACTATATTGTACTTGTGAGAAAATGGGACAGATTTTGAACGTAGGTAAACCAGCAGAACCCAGAACCGGTCCATAGAAGTCAAAAACACATCATCCGTGTGTACACTAGTGCTGTGAATGACTACCAAACCGGGTTGGTTGGGGAAGTAATAAGGTGAGGACTTAACTGGGCTGGTAAAAGGTGTAGGTGTTAACACAGTAACAATAGAGCCAATAATGTAGGTCTTGCAACAGGATAAGGTGTTGCATGATTTGCCCTTATGTCTTCGAGAAACCATTGCGCAGCCCAGCAAAGCATGAAATTATAAAGTGTAGACAACTTTCTGTTGTTTCAAGTCTCTTCTCCTGATGAGATTGGGGGAAATGAGGAGACCAGGGCCAGGCAGTGAGCAGGAAGCGGTCTTGCCTGAAGGGACTGTTCTCAGCTCTTTAGGTTTAAGACAGCCTTGGTGGTTCGCAGCCAGAGACCCGTTTGCCTCAGGAGCTCGAGTTGGCCTAGATTCCCACCATGGCCTGAGCCCCTCTTCCTCCTCTCTTCACTGACTTGTCCAGTACTTAGGCAACCCCAGACGTGCCCTCCTGTGATTCCCGGCACAAGCGCTCCTCTCTCACTCTGCTGGGCAGAAGCTCCTCTACGTCTCCACGTTCTCTGCTCTGATTCGGGGTCAGGTTGTGGCGCTCCGCACTTCCTGACTCGGGCACCCCCAGTATCCACCTCTCCTGGGGGAACGGCTGACATCTCCTGTACCCTGAGCAGTGGCAGCTTCAACAGGGACAATATATCCTGGTGCTAGGGGAAGGCTGGCAGTGCCCTAGTGCTGGGTATGGACCAGGGTTGGAAGGGACCTCAGGAGGTCATCTAGGTCCAAACCCCTGCTCAAAGCAGGACTATCCCTAACTAGATTATTCCAGCCTGGGTTTTGTCAAGGTGCTCTTAAAAACCTCCAAGGGTGGAGATTCCATCACCTCTCTACGTAACCTGTTTCAGTGCTTCACCACCCTCCCAGCGAGAGAGTTTTTCCTAATATCCAAGTTAAACCTCCCTTGCTGCAAATTGAGACCATTGCTACTCGTGTCGTTGGTCACCAATCAGGACACCACTGAGACATTATAACGAGTGACTGGAGAGAGATTCTATGCAGATTTTCCAGGAAAAATAAGGGGGAAACAATTCAGGGTGCACACACCTGATGGGAAGTGCTGCTTATCCAGGAGAGGAAAACTGAAGTAAAAAATGTAGCCCTCTACTGAGTATGGCTTGACATAGAGATGGATCCAAACTCTCACTGGGATCTAAGCATCCCTGATGGTGGTAAAAATCATGATAAAGCTTTTCTACTCTGCTTGAAGATTTGGGATTCATCTTGTGGATTTTTTTTCTGTAAGACAGATACCCGCTTCCTGTACCAAGAAAGAGCTGAGAAGGAAATCAACCGCCGAGTCATTCTCACTGGATTCAAATCGGACACAAAGATGATTTTTATTATGACTGTCCCATGGGGAGGGAGGTGTGGAGAGGAACAGCCAGTGCACAGGGGGCAGATCTGCATGAAGGGGCTGATTTCCACTCTGGATGTTTAAGAGAGGTTCTCAGATTCCCAGCTCTGTGCATATCTCCTAGTGCCTCAGCTCTACAGAGCAAGGCTGTTTGTACTCCATGCAGTCTCCTGAGCATCTCCTTCTTATCCTAGGCCCCGGACCTCCAGTTTTTGCAGCCATTAGGTCCCTGAGCTCCACTATTCTGAGACTTTCTTGGCCCTTTCTCAAGGAGATGCATTCTGTGCCTCCAGCCCAGTCCTTACTGAGCACCCCTCAGATGAAACAGAAGATGCAACCAGCACCCCACAGCACACCGCCAAAATGTCCCACAGGCGATGGCCCAGGAGGTGGCACAAAGGGCACTGAGATGCCACCTGCGGTATCTTGGCTCTGCAGCCGGATGTGCGGGGATGCCCTGGGCTGCCATAAACAGAAAGCTCCAGAGACATTGCACCGTTGTGGGTGGCTGGCCAGCAAGACATGCATGCACGCGCGTTCAGGAGCAGGAGCGCCACCAGCTCCGGCCTGTGTTTCAAGCTGAGCTGGATGGGTGGACACCTTCTCCTTCCCTCAGTCACCAGCTGTAAAAAGCCACTGGCTTTCCATTGCGCCTCCAGCTAGCTCCATGAGGGCAGCGGTAGATGGAGGCCGGGAAGCCAGGTGCCCCGTACGCCCGTGCCTGGGGCCAGGGAGAAGCTCATGGCTTCCCAGCCCCGCGCGAGGGTGCAGGGGAGGGGGCTGAGCTGAGCCCACGGGTGTTTCCCCGGAAAGGCTCTCCCGTCCCAGGGGTCACAGGCCTGAGCCTGAGCAGGGGGTTGTGGGCAGGCAGGGGCTGTGGGTGACATTGCACAGAACTACTGCACTTGTCACAGGCAGGGCTTGTGTTTTTGTTTTTTGGGGGGTTTTTAATATATAAATGTATCCAACAACTTGGAGCATAAAACAAATCAATACAGTCATAACTCAAATACTCCTTCCAGAAAGCGAAGCAAAACCTGGACAACTCTGCCTTAGTAGTCACCTCCAGCTAAAGCATAAAACGAAATTCACTCATTTGGCTGGGCAGGGCTCGCGTTTTCCAACTTCAAAGCACACCGCAAACAACCGCGACCCCCGCGCAGACCCTGCGCCCCCGCCTGCGCCTCCCCCGCCCCGGGCGCGCTCTGCGGGAACGGCTCGTCTGCCCAGGGATGCCAGGAGCAGGGCGCCGGCTTCCCCCCCCGCCACTGCGCATATGCAGGAGCTCGCGCCCCCTATTTCTGACCGTCCTTCCACCTTCCAGGGCCCACGTGCGCTCGGCTCTGCGGAGGGATTGGCTGCGCGGGCGCTTCCGGGTGGTGCGTCCGGGGCAGGCATGGTGAGAAGGGGGGGTGCGGGCGCGGGCGCGGGGGGTGACGTCACGGGGCCGTTGCTGTGACAACGCCCGGGGCCCGCTTGGCAGGGCGGCGCTGGGGTCCCCCCCTTGGTGCGAGGCCCTGCTCTGGCGGCGGGCAGCGCGTCGCAGCAGCCGTCCTGCTTTGTTGTTTCCTGAACACGAAGCTCCGTGTCGCTGCGTCCTTTGCCCCCTTGTAATGGAGCCTGGGGGCTGGAAGTGGGGCGTTGGGAGGGACTTCGTGCGGCGGCTGGCCTTGTGCCTGGCTGAGCCTGGGAAAGTCCCCTGCGGAGAGGAGAGCAGGGCGCGCGCCTGTGGTGGATGGGACGTCTTGGCCCCTCGGAGGCGGTGGTGGTGTGGGTAGCCCACCAAAGGCGCGGCCTCCGTGGTCTCCCAAGACGGTGGCTGCCGAGGATGCTGGGTATGTCTAAGTTTAACTTCACCGGTATTCTCTACGCTGAGGATAAATGCGCTTGCAAATGAAAATGCCCAGTTAACGATGAGTTAGTCTTCTTCTGGCCACAAAACAGGTGTTGGTGCACCGCAAGAACTCGAACGTCGCCCGGCGGGCAATACGTCTGACTTCTGCCCGCCCTAATCCTAGACGCCGGTAATGGAAAAGACCTGTTAGGTCGCCCTGGGCCATCCTTAAGCCTTGCGGTGCCCGCTGGCCCCTGGCATTTATCACACTTAGTACGTGATGGTCGCAACCTCATGCTTCAGCTTAAACAGAGTCATGGAGCTGGCGACGAAGCAGAAAACCTAGGAATAAAGTCATGTCTAAACGGGCAAATAGCAAAACTTCATCAGACCTTAAATGTCTTCTGCTTTGAAACTGAGCGCTGAATAAGCAGCGCGTCACCGAAACCGTCATCTTTCAGAGCAGTTCTTCAGGTCTGTCGCTGTGCAGCGTGCACAGGATTTTAAGGGAAGCGTGCTCGCGTACAGGGAGCCTGCCAGGTCAGCGAATGTTCAGGATAAAGTAGACTTGCTCTGTTGTTGACAGTGGGGGAAGACTGGTAATATTTCATAAAGACTGGAGATCTTCCAAAATCAGATCGATCTATAATATTCATTTTTATGGCTTTAATCGTGGGCTTCTTCAGTATAATCATGTACACGTACATGACAGATCACGGTCCGTGCTTGGCTCTCGATTGCCTGCGCAGCAGAACGTCGCTGAACCTTGTGCAGAGCCTGGAGCTGCAACTGCAGAACTTCTTGGTGTCTCATAATATTTTGTACGATGGCCTGGCGTTTTGTGTTTCGGTAATGTGAACTCTTACCAGTGGCTTATGTTTTTGTGGAACCTGTTTAAATGGGCATCATGAATAGAAGGAAACAGCTTTTAGTGCCTCCAGGATTTTCTCCCCAGTGGGTACTAATACTAAGTGGAAAAGCTTTGCAAGAGCCGTGAGTTACATAATTGTAAATGCAGTTTTGGTTAATGTTGTGCTATTTTTTTCTTTTTTCCCCCTCCCCACTCCCCTGTGTCCCTGGCATTTAATAAGTTGGTGCTGGTACTAGGAGATCTTCACATCCCACATCGATGCAGCAGCCTCCCAGCCAAATTCAAAAAGCTGCTGGTTCCAGGAAAGATCCAGCACATCCTCTGCACTGGAAACCTTTGCACTAAGGAGAGCTATGACTACCTCAAAACTCTGACTGCGGATGTTCACGTAGTTCGAGGGGACTTTGATGAGGTAATGGCTGTTCTGTAACACTTTCTCTGAGCGTCTCCCTGGAGGGTAATCCCTCTGTTGATTCGCGTGAAGGCAGCAATTGTCACTACCATTAGGTGATTCAGAGGGGAAAATAATGGCAGCATACTGTGCAGTAGTATAGTACAGGTATAACAATATGATCAGTTAAATGATTTCCAAAAATCTCTCCCCCTCTCCTCATGCTCAATAAAGGTAATGTCCTTCCTTGACTTTTTGAATGTTTTTTTTCTAGTGCAGCTTGCTTTGTTTCGTGCATATTTGGCTCTGCCTTTCCATGTTAGTTATTGGACTGTAAAAACTTCTTTTGTGTTTTATTATCTGTAATGATGTCATTGTAGAAATTAAATGTGACTATTGCAGTGCCACAGTTAATAGCATCTTGGGACGTTGTAGAAAAATGGTAATGTCCGAAGATGGTTTAATTCCATTAGCTTCTAAGGTGGTGCACAAGAATGGGATTTTTTGAGCTAGTAGTGTCTGTGCTGAAGGCTGACTGCAGTCACAAGGGCATGCTTCGGTTGGGTACGAATACCTGGAAAGTACCTTTGTCGCCGAAGCATCCTATTTCCATATACTTCCATCTAACCTGGAACTTGTTTCTCTGTTTAGAACCTGAATTACCCAGACCAGAAAGTTGTAACTGTGGGGCAGTTTAAAATTGGGTTGATCCATGGCCATCAAGTTATCCCCTGGGGGGACATGGGTAGCCTTGCACTGCTGCAAAGACAACTGGATGTGGACATCCTGATATCGGGGCATACACACAAATTTGAGGCCTTTGAATATGAGAACAAGTTCTACGTAAACCCAGGGTCAGCCACGGGAGCCTACAATGCCTTGGAGATGTGAGTTAATAAGTTCAGCAATCTTTTCTGTGTCAGGTTCTTGTTTTATATACAGTAACAAGTACGGTGTAACTGAAAACCCAGTTTAGTGCATCGTTTGCTACATTATTTGGGTATCTTCCTTGTTCGCTGTAAATTTTCGTGAAAGGAAACAGAACTTCACTTCTTTAGAAATAGTAAAGTTACCTCACTGACACAACTTCCCAAGGCAGGTTTGACTATTCAGAAATGCTGAAAATAGCTTCAATGTGACTTCCTTTTTTGACTTCTTTAAGATGCTAGAAAATATTAAATGGAAGCCCTCTTAACCTATGTGGGGTATAAGAGTGGCAGCTGTGCATGGGTTCTTCTGATATTTCCATTTGTGATAAAGTCCATAACTGGAGCAGATCTTGGAGATCAGATTTCTGTGAGTCCGTGCTATCCTGACTTCACTGCACCGACAGAGCAATATGTATGTGGTAGTTTGATTTGTGAGGATTATCTGGGATGACTACTTCATCCCTCCTAGGATGAAGTTGGGTGCTATCTTTTCCAATGTGCTTAAATATCTCTTACTACTTATTTGGAGAAAGATGGATTAAGCCAAATTTGTTTGGGCCATTTTTATACTCCATCACAATTTAGCAGCATGACTGTTAGATTTTTGAGAAGCAGCTTCTAAATGTCAAGTACACTAACCAAAACACTTGTTGTCCCCCTGCAGGAACATCATTCCTTCATTTGTCCTGATGGACATCCAGGCATCCATAATTGTGACTTATGTATATCAACTAACTGGGGATGACGTGAAAGTAGAAAGAATTGAATATAAAAAATCCTAAGGAGCTGTCAGTGTCGTGGTACTTCTTACCACTCCTTGTCTTCTTCCAGTCAGGTCAACCCACTAAGTAATTAGGTCTGTGGATGTCATTGCAGCACTTGTGACTTTTTTTACACCTAAAAAAGCCACTACCACTTTATTCTTTATTGTTTGTAAGCTTATTGTAACTTAATCATCCTCACTTACTGTTTAAATTTGCAAGCTCTAGTGTGCCACTGAACTACCTCCTTTGTACAAAATAGCTTGCAAGTATCCAGTGTTAACAGAGATGGGGTGTGTGTGATGTGAATGCATGGGTATGTTGTAGTAGTTTGGTTCTGAACCAATTACACCATTCTGACAGTATTTAAATAAACACTCTCTCATGTATGTGGAAGTGCATGGTTCTTTTGAATAAGGAATTTGTAGTAGATGGTGGACTGCCCATGAGACTGCAGGGTGTTTAGAAAGCTCTCTCAGGAGCTCAGAAACTTGAAGAATAGGAGGAACACGGGTGCCTGTGGAGGATATTTTGCCACGGGATGTGGGGCAAGTCAGGTTGCAAATGGGTTTATTGCATGCAAGAACTTTTTTTCCAACTACTTATTTGGTCTAATACAAGATACCACATCTACTTTAAGAACCTTGCCAGCCTATGTCCTTAGACCAACATGGCTACAATCAAAAACCCAGCAATATCCTTTCAACACATCTTTCCAAACTCTGTCTCTTACTGCCATTCTCTGGCTGACCCCTGTGTGGGCTGTGACATAGCTTGGTCTCTCAGATCAGGCTGGGGTCTTTGTTTAAAGTTTTGACTCTAGACGTATTCCTGGCAAAGCCCAAAGTTGGCTACATAGACCCAGATCCTGTTAATGGCAAAATCTTGCGACTTCAGCCTCTCCAGACAAGACTACAACCTGTGATCTGGATCTCTTTTGCAACCTTAGACATAGGATTAAAGTACAGCTGCAATTCCCTTAACTCTGTCTCTAACTGGTAATCATTAAAGTACAATTATAATTCCCTTAATTATCACCACCCAGGAAGGAAAAAGGGCAAAAGAAAGTTCTAGTCTGAATCTCTCTTTAAAAAATAACTAAAAAAATTGCTATACCCCAAGAGCCCAAGAATACACACTTATTTCAGTGCCTGTCTACCTACTCACAGCAGCAGAAAGTAGATTCTCACCTACACTAGTTGAGGAAACTTAAGGGAGAGATGGCGTGCAGAGTGGCAGCAGGGTTTCCTGAATTTGCAGAGTTCTCCAAGTTTCTGTCCCGTCTATACCTTCTGTTTCTAGATGGGCTGTTCTAATATTCTTATAAACCTTTTCTGGCTGGTTTTATTCAAATAATTTGGTTCCATTCAAACTCTTATGAATGGGGAAAATGTCAGTTAGTTGGGATTTATGTCCCTGCAGAAGTCACAGTTCTGGAAGGGTTGATTTCTTATCTCCTCTCACCTGCATACCTCTCTCACAATTGTGCCTTTTCGCTTTGCTGCCATTCTGGTTTTTTTCCCATCTTGGTTTATGGTCGTCACTGACCAGGCTGCTTTGTTTCTGCAGCTTATACAAGAAAATTTAACACACACATGTATATTATAGCAACAGTATATCCACTATGGTTACATCAAGCACTACTACTAACTTTAGTTTAAAAAAAAAAAAAAAGTTATTCTGCAGTGTATTTGGATTTTCTATGTTAATTCCTTAACATGGATAATCCAAATACACTTTTTTGGTCTGTTTTAATTTGATCCAATTTAGCTGGTTACACTTAATTACTTTCTTTCCTTTGCTGACCACGTTGTCACCTTTTGCAAAGGCTCGCTTTGTGCTCACTCAGAAACAGGCTTTTGGGGCCTCCAGCTTGAGCCATACTTCTGGACCTTAGTAAAGGCCTCTTGGATAGTGGTGAAAGCCAGCAACAAGTGGTTATACATTTCTGCCTTGCCATATGCACTTAACTGTCATTTTAATAGGATTCCAACCAATGTTCCCTCTAAGGAATAGTGGTCCATGAGCGTGCTGCTTTGGTGCGGTGTGGGACACTTACCAAAGGTAAGCTCCTCACTCCTCAATGGGGGGCTGGGGACTGCGGCCTGGTGCAGGCTCCATCGGCTGCGGGACACTGCTCTGCTCTCCTGTGTCACCTTGGGGAGTGATGGGGCACATGGCGTTGGGGCCAGGGAGCGGAGCAGTTCCCCGGAGCCAGTGGAGCCTCACTCAGGGCAGGCAGCTGCTCCTCCCCGAGGTGAGGTGGGGCTGGGGCTGGACGCTGGTGCCAATTCTGGGGAACTGCTCCACGCTCTGGCCACGTGCCTCCTCTCCCTGAAGTGAAGCAGGAGAATGGAGCAATTCCGTGGAGCTGGCAGAGACTGTGCCAGGCCCCTGCCCTGCCTCCATGTTGCCTCGGGGAGGAGCTTACCTTCTGTGTCCCATGCCGCAGCCCAACTCCTATCCTGGTGGGTGCACGGCCTAAAAAAGTTTGTGCGTGGCCAGCCTTTTACTTGTGTGCATGCACGGCCATGCGCACCTTAGAGGGAAGCTTGATTCCAACTAGCTATACGTAATTAAGATCCTCTCATCAAAGATGAAACTGAAGCAGTTATCTCTGCTATTCCAGTTTCCCTCTTTTTTTCTTTTATGAGAGTTCTTTTATATGTGAATTCACTCTTATGTGATGAGCACATTTAGACCCATAATTCATTATATGCAAGGTAAATTCACTCTTATGCAATCAGCATAGATGCTGCCCCCACCCCCAACAGGTAAGTCTGTGAGGGGAGGGGAAAGGGCCGTGGCCCCATTCACCCCAGCCCTGGCTGCAGTGGCCCCAGGAGTGGCCGGCGCAATCTGCCTGTAGCCACTGGGCTGCACCGTGCTCCGCCTGGGCTCCACCTGCCCTCACCTCTGCTCCTGGGCCGCACCACGCCCTGGTGCAGGCAGCTGGTGTCAGCTGCTCGGGTGACTGCTGCACCCTGGGCGACCCGGGGCTCTGCTTGCCCGCACTTGCCCCAGCGTGTCCTGGAGCAGCCCCTGGAGCAGCCAACACCAACTGCCTGCAACAGGGCATGGCACAGCCCAGGAGCAGAGGTGAGTGGGGACAGGCGGAGCCCAGGCATGGGGGAAGAGGCAGAGCACGGTGCAGCCCAGAGGCTGCAGGCCGCTAGTGCCGGCCACTCCCGGGGCCGCTGCAGCCAGGGCCGGGGTAAGTGCCACACTGTTCCCTCTGCTTTGCCACCTTGTGCAGCCCTAGGAGTGGCACTTCCCCCCCCCTTCCCCAGTCCCAGCCTTGCTCCCTCCCTCCTTCCCTCACTGCCATGGGAACCTATCCCTATTTGTTACATTGTAAAGTGGGTTCACTTTAGGCAAATTTGATTTATGCGCCGTTCTCCGGGAACACATACCGCATAAATCGAGGGAAACCTGTACTGCTTTCCTGAAAGCAATAACCTATACTTTGCCTAGCTCACTGCTGGTGCTCTTGACCAAGATACTTTATTCTAACTTCTCGTGCTACTGCTTATTACGTGTGTTGACATGTCAGTCTATACAAGCGTAAGAATATGTGCATAAGATGGGCAGAGCCAAGTCCGCAGTCTGGACTCATCATTGGCTGTTTAAGGGGGATGCTGTGTCTCAGGATCTGCCAGTCACCAGTGATTTGCACTGCTATTTGTTGGCCCTCGGATGGATTCAGGGAACGAAGAGAGGTTTGAGGAGCCAGTTCCACCAAAATGAAATACTCACAATGCAAGAATGTCTAAGTTTGTAATAAGTACCATGTACACCCCTGAAACATGGAAGATGCTGAATTCTAGCTGCTTTTGGATTTTAAACTTCATTGCAGAACAAGGAAGTGTTTTGCCTCCCATCTGACACCTTCAGGGAAGGAATTCTACCTGATCAACACATCAAAGAGCTACTCAACACAGCTCACAAAGACGCTCTCATGGACCCAGAGGGACAGACTTCCATCTTTAGCTCTCTCTGTGCAAAAATGAAGTTTATTTCCTACCTATGGGGACTTTTTACCATCTTACACCATCTACACTTTTCCCAGAGCCTGACAAAGGGACTTTGATCCCGAAAGCTTGCAGAAAAGGACAATTTTCTTGCCATTTTCCAGTTGGTCTAATAAAAGGTATCATTTTGGAACCACAAGTTCTAGTTTTTTGTATGTAAATTTGTAATAACAAATTCAAAAACAAGACTATAGGATCTGAGACTGTTGAGCCTGGGGAAGAGAAGACTGAGTGGGGATTTGGTGGCCGGCTGTAAGTATGTAAAGGGTGAATATCGGGAGCTGGGAGAAACGGTTCACTAGGGTGCCCTAGGGGGGACCAGGAGCAGTGGTCATAAACTGTTATAGTTTCAGGTTGGATGCAAGGAAGAACTGCTTTATGGTAAGGGTGCCCAGAATCTGGAACAGACTTCCCAAGCAGGCGGTTCAGTCCCCAACCTTGGATGTCTTCAAGAAGAGACTGGACAGACACCTTACTGGGATCATTTGATCTCAGCAGTATTTGTACCCAGAGCAAGGGGGTTGGATTCTGATCTTTTGAGGTCCCTTCCAGCACTTAATTTCTATGGTTTTTCTATGAGCAAAGTACAGAGAAAATATAAATGACTAGTCAGTACAGATAAAGCTGCATTTTATAAATGTCAATCCTTATGTCAAGGCACAACCATGTTATCAATATCTGAAAGCAATTTAATCTTAAGATTTTTACATCCTAAAGTTTTAAAAAATCTCTGAAAGGTGACCAGCCTATTAGGGGAAGGGTCTTCTTACATAGGTTTCAAATTTTAGGTTTTAAAGAACCCTTATTTTAATTCATCTACACACGAGCTGTTCAGCAAGAACTGTAGTTCAAGGCTGAAGAGCAAAAGTTTTGAGCTGAACCCAGATTTTTATACTCTCTGGTTTGACCAAAATACCAAAAAGCTTACTAAATAAGGTAAGAAAATTAAAAGCATTCCTAACAGGTACTACTGCAATTAATATTCACATGCCCATTCTTTTTCCCTATATAAGCTATATCTTAAATTAGCCTTGTCTAAATGTACGCTAAGCAACCTTACTGAGACCTCTCAGCTGCTCTTTTTCCATTTTGTCTTTCTTGAATTTTCTAAAATGGCTTGCACCTTGTGACATCCTCTAGCCTGATCATTTCCCTTGCCTCTTCTTTGTTTGCCTCTTTTTTTGGTGGTGTTGTCAAATGAATGCAAACAAATGCTATGTAATTTAAGGCCTACTATAGTCCACATCAGGGGTCCGCAACATTTTTGGGCAGTGCGCCAAAAACACCCACAGCCTCAACATACAAGATGTTGGCATGCCAGGGGCAGACGGCATGGGGGCCATGAGGGTTCAGAGCCT